TCAAAATTAAGAAATATTTTAACATAATTCACAACATTGACCAAAGAAAATCATAAGATCATCTCAACAGAAGCAAACTTTTTAAAATTTTTCAATTTATTTATTTTGAGAGAGAGAGAGCACATGCATGTGTGTGTATTGTTGGGGAGAGGGGAGACAAAAGAATCTCAAGCAGACTCTGTACTCTGCATGGCTGACATGGGGCTCCATCCCATGACCCTGAGATCATGACCTGAGCCAAAGTCAAGAGTTGAATGCTTAACCAACTGAGCCACCCAGGTGCCCCAGAAGCAAACTATTTTTAAAATAAAATAATGTGGTAAATTCAAAGATCCTAAATTTAAAAAGCAAATTATAAAATAATATATAGTATAATTTTTGTTAAAACAAAACAAAAAATATATTAATATATGTGCCTAATATATGCATATATGCAAAAACCTAGAAAAATCAAGAGAAGGATACACGACAAGCTATTGAGTTGACTCTGGGGAGGGGATTTGGAGGTAGAGAGAAAGCATTATGAATAAGGAAAGACCTTCCCACTTTACTCTGTACATAAGTATAATGTCTCAATCTTTTTCATTAAAGGAATTTATCCAGCATAAATTTTGTGATAAAAAACACAAAAGAATATGTCACAAGGCTACTCATTTGGAAAAGTAAAGTACCGACAAGTATTTCAGATGCTAACATCTGATGCAATTGCTTTGGAAAATGATAAGATGAATATAACTTAAATCAGTCATGTCTATTATAAACAAAGCAATCACATTATAACCATAAAATATTCTTAAATGTACTTATTAATTCTGCATAGATACAGCTGGTATTCCTGCCTCATCCTCTCCAGATAAGAACAACAAAAAACGCTCAAGGGGCTCAGTGGAGAAAGAGTTTGGTTTCTGGATAACTGATATTCCTCATTCTGAAGCAGATACTCAGTGGCTCTGAGACCTCTGAAACTGAGGCTGGTAAAGTCCAAAAAAGTTAGTTTCACTGCCGTAAATTCTTCCAGTCTGTAGACCTCTACAGAAAGCAGCAAGATAAGAAATCTAACACATTCTGGTAAATATGGTATTTTTTGTGCAGTGTGCCATAACATCCCTGCTTTAATTTTAAGCCATTCCCAGTGTTGCAGACAGGTCAGACCTTTGATGTTGCTATATCTCCTTATTCTTTTCCATTTCCACTGCCACCATACAGGAACAAAGACCCTCAAAAACAGCTGCCTGGACGACAGTGGTTGATTCATGACAAGTCTCCCTATCTCTATTTTTCCCCTAACACCACCTTTCCAAAGATTATTCTCTAGTTATCTTTTAAATAGACTTTTATGCTATTTTCCACACAAATTATTAACTAGTAGAAATTGAGAATTGGTTAGAAATTATCTAACCAAACTTCCAGTTGATATAAGGATTTTTTTCAGTAGTGCCTCTGAGAGATCTGTGAATGATGTGTAGTGAATTTCTTCAAAAATCCCAAAATTTCACCTTCATAGTTAATATTTTACTGCAGCGTTATTTCTTATGTTTGGTAAAAATCAATCTCCAGAAAATTCCATTCTCTGAAACTTACTATATTTGCATATTGTCTTTTAGATAAAATATCTCAAACAATATTAAAAAAATTAGAAGAAAAATTGATCCTTAGTGTTAGAAGACAAAGAAAAAAAATGCATATTAGGAAAAATTTAAATGGTCATTAGTTGCAGGTATCATTATTATCTAAGAAAATCCAAAAGTTCCTATAAATAAACTAGGATAATTAATAAGGAAATTTAAGATTATTTCTGGTTCCAAGATCAATATTCAAAAAACCAATTTTAAATCACTATGCCAATAACAACTTAAACAGAAAATTAAAATTCGAAAATATTTAAATAAAATCAAATAGCAAACAGAAAAAATTTGGAAAAAACTTTAGATCTCTACACCAAAACCTTCAAAATTAAAAGTCTCAATAAATAAAGAAATATAGCATGATCATAGATTAGAATATTCACTCCTGTAAATATGGCAATGGTCACAAAATTATCTGTACATTTTATGTGAAGAGAATAAAATTTCTGGTAGACTTTTTTGAAGAAACTGAGTGATTCTAAAATGTATTTAGAAATCAAAAGCATCAGGGCACCTGGGTGGCTCAGTCTGTTAAGTGTCTCCCTTCAGCTCAGGTCATGATCCCAGGGCCCTGGGATCTAGCCCCGACATAAGGGCTCCCTGCTCAGCAGGGAGTCTGCTTCTCCTTCTCCCTCTGTCCCACTCCCCTGCTCATGCTCTCTCTCTCTCTCAAATAAAAGAGTAAAATCTTAAAAAAGAGAAAGAAAGGGGAAAAGAAAGAAAGAAAAGAAGGAAGAAAGAAAGAAAGAGGAAGGAAGGAAGGAATCTAAAGCATTGAGAATAGGTTAGGCAATCTTGAAGAAAAATAAGAATGATATGGAGGACTTACACAACCACATATGATGACCTTTTATAAAGCTATACTAATTAAGGCAGTGTGGTATTGGCAAAAGAGTAGACTAACAATGAAACAAAATAGATATTCCAGAAATAGGTCCTCATGGAGACATATAATTTACAGTAAAGTTGCCACTATAATGCAGAAGAGAAAAAATAGTCATTTCAATAAGAGGTGATGAATCTATTAAATATTCAAGAAAAGAAATGTCCTGGACTTCTACCTGATACCATACACAAAAATCAATTCTAGCTTGCTTAAAAATCTAAATTTGAGGGGCGCCTGGGTGGCTCAGTGGGTTAAAGCCTCTGCCTTCAGCTCAGGTCATGATCTCGGGGTCCTGGGATCAAGTCCCGCATCGGGCTCTCTGCTCGGCAGGTAGCCTGCTTCCTCCTCTCTCTCTCTCTGCCTGCCTCTCTGCCTACTTGTAAAATAAATAAAATATTTTAAAAAAAATCTAAATTTGAAAAATAAAACAATGTTTTTACAGGAATATATAGGAATATATTTTTCTAACTTTGAAGTAGGCAAGATTTTTAAATAGAATACAAAATGCATATTAAAACTCTTTAAGTGGATTTTATTAAAATTAATAACTACTTTTCATCAAAAGTCATCATTGGGTTAAAAGTCAAATCACAGAGTAAGAGAAGATACTTAAAAAAAAATATATATATATATATATATATCTGATAAAAGTTTTGTATTCAGAATATATAAATGATTACCACAAAGCAATAAGAAAAATATGAACAGTCCAACAGAAAAAAAAAACTGGTTAAAAAATTAAAAGACACTTCGCAAATATGATTATTCATGTAGCCAAGAAGTAATGTGAAAAGCTGTTTAACTTCTTTAGTCATGTGGGATGTACACGGCATAGGGAATGTAGTCAATGATATTGTGATAATGTTGTACGGTAACAGATGGTAACTATACTTATGGTGAGCATTGTGTAATGTATGGATATGTTGAATCACCAGTTGTACACCTGAAACTAAAATAACATAGTGTCAACTATACCTCAATATGAAAATTTTTAAGTTAAAATTACATTAAAACAAACAAAGAAAAAGGAGAAAACACCAAGAGTAGGTTAGGATGCAGAGTAATTGCTCTTATATACTGCTACAGGGAGTGTAAATTGGTGTAAACACTTTGAAAAACTATTTTGCAATATCACTGAAAGATAAAGATATATATATCCTATGAACTGGAAATTCCATTATTTTTTTTTTCCAGTTGCCACTGCTTTTTTAATTTTATTTTATTTTTTCAGTGTTCCAAGATTTATTGTTTAGGCACCACAAATTCTTATGTATCATTATTTGCCTAGAATATAACTGTATACTTAATAACTTAAGAAGAACTATAGAAACCATTTAGAAATGATAGGAAATTTCAGCTGGCCAATTATATAATTAATATGTTATGATGTAATATAACATAAATATATAAATATAAAATAAAATAAATAAATACAGAATAATCAGTAATTTAAAAAGCACCAGTTAGAAAACATAATGGATTGTATCTACAATAGAAACTAAGTATATGAAAGATCTAGGGGAAAAAAACCCTCATAATGTATATGTAATAAAATGCATATTACACATGTATAAAGATAAACATTAAACACAAAACCCAGCTGAGAAATATACACACATAAAAAAGAGTTGAAATAGAGAGACTGCCTATGTTTTTAGAATGGGAACTTTCAAAATTATTGAGATAGCAATATTTCTTAAATTTACTCTAAAATTCAATGCAGTCCTAATTAATATCCCAATAAGATATTATGGGATATAGAATGTAGACTATGGGGGAAAGGAATAATATCTAAATATATATCTTCTTTCTGATAAATTCAAAAGTTATAATTAAGCTGGGTTCAAATAGTTGATATTCTCGTGGTAGCTACTCAGGGAGAAAATCCACATTTTTTAGCATACATTCATTTGGGGGATCTGTTACCAATACACGATTTTTTTGTGTTTGGGGTTTTATTGTTTGTTTGTTTTTTCAAGTTTTTATTTAAATTCTAGTTAGTTAACATAGAGGGTAAGATTGGTGCCAGGAATAAAATTTAGTGATCTGTTTAACACCATTTTAGAAGGCTCTTGTTGTAACAAATCATAGGAGTTCCAAGTGACTGACTCAGTCATCCAAATGTGCTTGATGGCCTCTGTTCTCAAGGAATACATGGTCTAGCCCACAGACATTTTACCTTCTCATGGCTAGACTTGGAATCACACTTATAACACATTTAGTAATGCTGGAAATCCCCTCCCTACTTCAGACTTGAGACCCCATGAGCCAACACTAGCTTAGTTCCTCCTCCTCCCTTTCCATTTACCCTATCCTGCTTCCCCTGCTTCCACAGTGTTGCTGTTTATTTTAATAAGGCAAGGAAGAAATGACTCCAAACAAATCAGAGGCCCACAATCCCCTCCACCACCACCCTTGTCCTACTTCATATATTCATTTCTTTTAAATAAAACCCAGCAGACCAATAGCAGGGAGCCCACTTTTCTGACCTCTGACACCACCTGGCCTGGAGCACAGTCTATCCTCTCTGACTCAGGGATCTCTGGGCATTCTGGAACAAATGCAGTCTCTGCATAGGAATTAAAGGAAAAAATTGAACATTTATAGTGCAATCACAATACCAGGAAGGGTGCAGGGAAAGTTATAGACTTTCAGCCAATTCTCCAGTCAATGATTACTAGTGGCCGGTATCTACATGTGCATACAAGTGCTGAACACATTTGCCTTTTGTTCAGTTGGTTTTTATTGAGATATCATTCACATGCCATAAAATTTTCGCCTTCTTAAAGTGTACAGTTGAATGGTTTTCAGTATTTCACAAAGTTGTGCAACCAAGCACCATTATCTAATTCCAGGACATAGTCATCACCCCAAAAAGAAAGCATGTACCCATGAGTGGTCACTCCTTACCCCCTTCTTCTCCCAGTCTCTGGCAAACGCTAATCTGCTTTCTGTCCCTGTGGATTTGCCTATTCTGAGTATTTCATATAATGAAATTGTAAAGTATGTGGTCTTTGGTGTCTGGCTTCTCTCACTTGGCATAACTATCCTCAAGGCTCACCCATGGTGCAACGTGTAATAAGTACTTCATTCCTTTTTATGGGTGAATCAAACCCACGGTATGGATATATAACCCTTTACAAAAATCCGTTCCAAAGTTGATGTACATTGTGTTGTTTCCACTTCTTGACTATTGCACAGAATTCTACAGTGAAAATTCCCATACAGGTTTTTGCGTGAACAGATGTTTGGAATTCTCTTGATTATAGATCTGGAAATAGAATTGCTAAGTAATGTGGTTAACTCTATCTTTAAGTTTTTGAGGAACTGCCAGACTTGTTCCCAAAGGGACTGCCCAATTTTACATCCCCACTAGCAGTACGTGAGAGTTCCAATTGCTCCACATCTTCAACAAGGGTCATTGTCTGTCTTCTTCATGATAGACATTTTAGTGGGTGTGAAGAGTGTTTGATTTTGACTTGCATTTCCCCAAAACTGATACTGAACATCTTTTCATGACATATTGACCATTTATAGATCTTCTACGAAGAAATGTTTGTTCAAATCCTTAGCTCACTTAAAAAAACTAGATTATTTTTCTATTTTGTTTTGAATTGGAAGATTTTTTTTATATATTCTGGATACAAGAATCAGATATGTTCCTTGCAAATATGTTTTCCCATCCAGTAGGCTGTCTTTTCACTTCCTTGACAGTGTCCTTTAAAGCACAATTTTTTTTAAAGTAAAATTTGCCTATCTTTTCTTTGGTTATTATGGTTTGGGTGTTATATCTAAGACACTGTTGCCTAGCCCAAGGTAAAAATATCTATAACTATGTTTTCTTCTTAGAATTTCATAGATTTGGTTCTTACATTTCAAGTTTTGATCCATTTTGAGCTAACTATCATGTGTGATATCAGGTAGGGATCCAGCATTATTTTTTTACATGTGTATATCCTGTTGTCCCATACATTTACTTTTTTGCTATTTTCCCCACTCATTTTCAGCCATCTGTGAGGTAAACTGGGAAGATATTATTGTTCCAATTTGAACAAAGACCTTCACTCAACATTGCTATGTTTACTTTAGCTTTTGTCACCTTTGTAAGCCCCATCCCCACCCCTGCCACCCTGCAATGTAACATCAGAAGTAGGATCTAGTTTAACAGGCTCCATGAGCCAGTCAACACCCGGAATTCCATTTGAAGCTTGAGTCAACAGTTACTGCGGGCATAATAGGTACCCTTTAATACCTCTGTTTCTGTTCAAAAAAGACCTCAAAACAACTCTCCTACATTTATGGTTCTATACTTGTTTGTATATATACTTAAATAAAAATTTATTTTAAAATTGCGTTAAAGATCTAAATGTAAGACTCTTGAAACTGTGAAACTCCTTAGGACACCTGTTTGGCTCAGACAGTTAAGTATCTGCCTTCAGCTCAGATCAGGATCCTAGGGTCCTTGGACTGATTCCCACATAGGTCTCCTTGCTCTGTAGGGAGCTACTTCTCCCTCTGCCTGCTGCTCCCCCTGCTTGTGCTTTCTCTTTCTCCCTCTCTGTCAAATAAATAAATAAAATCTATACAACAAAGGAAACCATCAACAGAATGAAAAGGTAACCTAAAGGATGGGAAAAAATATTTGCAAACCATCTATCTGAAAATAGGCAAAATTCTAAAATACATAAGGAATGCATACAACACAATAGTAAAAACAAATAAAAAGGATCTGATTAAAAAATGGACAAAAGACTTCCATAAGCATTTCTCTAGAGACACACAAATGGCTAACAGGAAAGATGCTCAATGTCACTAATCATCAGGGAAACTTAAATCAAAACCACAACTAGATATCATCTCATATCTCAGGATGGCTAATATATTTTTTTTAAAAAAGTAAGTTTTGGTGAGAATGCGGAACAATTGGAACCTTTGTATGCCAGTGGTGGGAATGATGCAAATTGGTGCAGCCACTATGGAAAACAGTATAGAGGTTCCTCAAAAAAATTAAAAATAGAACCATTAGATGATCCAACAATCTCGCTGCTGGATATTTATTCAAAGAATTCAAAGAATTGAAATCAAAACCCCAAAGAGATACTAGCACTCTCATGTTGATTGCTGTGCTATTCACAAACAACGAAGATGTGAAAACGACCCAGACATCCATCAACCAATGGATAGATAAAGACAATGTGGTATGTGTACATGTAACAGATTATTATTCAGCTGTAAAATAAGGAAGGAAACCTGGTCATTTCCAACAACATGGGTGAACCTGGAGGACATTGTGCTAAGTGAAATAAGCTGGTTACAGAAGGACAGATGCTGCATGATTCCATTTATATTAGGTATTTAAAATAGTCAAATTCACAGATGCAAATACTAGAATGATAGTTGCCAGGGCAAGGGGTAGGGGAAGATGGGGTGTTGCTAACCAACATGTATGAAGTTTTAGTTATGCAAGATGAATAAGTTCTACAGATCTGATGTACAACGTTGTGCCTCTGAGTAATTGTGCCCGATGTACACTTTGAGAATCTATTAAGAGGGTAGACTTCATGTTAAGTGTTCTTACCAAAATAAAAAAAAATTAAGAAAGAAGCCTCCTTTTTAACTCATGGAAGCATATCTTCAAAAAACATCTTGAAAGAAGCCCAATACATAGAACAGGCAAGAGTTAACTATTCTGCAAGAATTAGACTGTGCTTTCATGTAAATGGAGGCATGAAGATCTAGTTTTATGTTAACTAAAAGAAACTACTTATTCATGTACATTAGATAGTAATGTCATGGGACTTGTTACCCAAATAAAATTTAATAGGGTAAAAATAGTAATGGTCTAAAAATAGCTTTTATCAATGTTTTCCAAATCCTCTTTCAAAGACATAATTGTTCCTAGAAAGCACCCTAATGTTTACTGTGGATAATAGTGAAGAGAGATTGAGTAGGTAGGGTTCTGCTATCAGCACAATTTCTTTTCAATATACAATCTACATGTAAATGTGAGCTTTAGCAAGCAAAATAAACCACAAATACTGTTTTAATTAGGGATAGATTTTTATATTACACACTATTATTTTATTATTTAGAGTATCATGTGCATGGAGGAGAAAGCATTCTCTTGATGCTCCTGTGTGAGAGAGAACAGTTTCAAAGGTATTGATGAAGAAATCATAGCTATTTCAATCAGAATATGGGCTGGAGGCTGATTATAATTGATATACTTAAGCCAAGTTAATCAACTTGCTGCAACCTGATTTCCTTTTCCATAATGTAGTGGGATGGGGCACTGTTACCTCAACTGTTCTTTCTACTTGAAGGCTCTACTACTTTATGACTGGATTGAGGGACAGACATCTGACAAGCCTAATTTTGCATCTTGTTAAAATTTCATCAAATGAGACTTGGGAGATCCTGAATGTCATTGGCATTCAAGGTTTTGTTGTAGAAAAAGAAAACTTGTCTTTTGAAGACTGACTGATAATTGGTTGTGGATATGGATTTTGAGTGATACAACATGGTGCCATGCTGAAGAGTGAAGGAATATAATCCTTCCAACCCCAAAGCCACAAGCATCCTCCTTACCTTCACTTTTCTCCAACACAAAAAACATCAAGAGGATATCTAAGGCCAGCACAATTAGGAAGAAGATGATCAGAAGGACTTCCAATACAGTGAGTTTCCTTGCCATCTAGATGGACACAGATAATGGGATTTAAGCAAACCACAAAGTTCCATCAATCCAAAAGGAGAGGTATCATGATTAGAATGTGAACTCATTTGCAAGATGACTTAATTACAATCATTCCTCCTTACATAATCCAGAGAATATTTGTTTCCACTCATCACAGTATTTACAATTAACTCTAGTCTGTGCATCCATCACCTCTAGAACCCTTGCCTTTCTGTCTGCAGAGGAATTGAGTATTGACTAAGGAAAGAATATGTCAGACATAAAGAACAGAATACGGGAGAGAGATGAGGGGTTGAGGTGCTTCACAAAGCCCTTTTAGACACCACTTTGATCCTCACACCCACCCTGGGCAGTAGAGTGGAGGGTACACTCAGGGAAGGAAAAAGTAACAAAACCAGAATCCTGGTCTTCTTATTCCAATTCCCATGCCATTATGGTAAGATGTTTAATTATTTAGAAGTGATTGATTCTGTTAAGACTCTGTTAAGACTGAACCTAATCCTGATCTCCAACACAATGCTTGCTTGCATGGTCATAGCACACAAACCCATATAAATTTGGTGGCTCACCTTAGCCTTGCCAATCATGCATACATAGACCCAAGTTTTAAAATATTTGGTGTATTGGAGTGTATAGTGAACTGGGAACCAAAGAATGTTTTGATTCTTGCCCTGACTTGCATACCAACAGGTAGGCATTTTAACTATCTGGGTGTGCATTTCTTCATCTCCAGACGTAAGATTCTGGAGGTACTCCCAAGTTTCTGCTCTAATTATAGCAAATCTCACATTATACATATGTCTCACAACCCCATGACGGCCCTTACCATGTCATTCCTTGACTGACTCTCCACCATCTTCAGCACTCCTCCCACCACAGCTGTACATTGGCTACGCCCTGGAACACATCACTCTCCAGCATTGTTCCATTTCTGAAGTCACTCTTAGCCTCTACTTCCTATTTACTGGGCAGAAGCCCATCCCCTTTTATCCTGTTATTGCACTGTTTATTCTTTGATCACACTGAGGCTTCTTTTCTGTTCCACTCCCTCTTAATCTCTTAGTCCCTCCTAGCCTCCTGGCTATTACCCTTCCCTGACATAGTCCTCAATAGCTGTTATTTCTCTCATCTTCCTTGCTCCCTCATCTGCTAACTGAATCTATACAATGAAACCGTTGATCAAAACTTCTGCCTTCCGGGTTTATGCAATCAGCCCAACGGGGGTGCCACTAGGTTCATATTCTGACAAATATACTGGGCCTTCAAGCCTACAGACAGTCTTGCCATCTTCTCTCATTTTTCACAGGAGAAATTTCAAACATTGATCCTTGTTTTCAAGCCCCAACCTTTGTTACCTACACTGTTACTCTCAACCAGTATCATCTCCGACGTTACAAACAAAACAACTATTTTGAAGAAACTATTTCATCTCCCTGCTTCTCAACCCAAGCTTTTCTATAAAAATTATCTGTATTTAAGTAAACTTATTTTTCCCCTCTTCTCAATTGAAGAGTTTTCTCTCCTCTTGCTAAGGATAACCCTTGTATCTATTCTACAGATCTCATACACTTGGAATTTCTCAAAAATCTTGTTCCACCAATTATCCTTCCTCTTCCTTGCATTATCAACCTCTCCCTCTGAATATACTCTTTGCCCTCAAAAGTATACCCCAAGTCGCCCTGAATTCTGACAATTACTCTGTGTCTTTCTCTAGGTACCATTATAACTTTCTTTTTCCTCTTATAGCTAACTTTCCAAAAAGATAATGGTGCACTGTCTGCCTTACCTTCCTTGTATATTACTGGCATGGCTTCGGTTTCTTGCATTCCACTGAAATTCCCCTAAAGGTCACCAGTGATTTAGATGCTGAATACAATGGGCACTCTCTTAATCACCTAGCACTATCAACCACTCCTTCTTCTTAAAATTTCTCCATGTTTGGATTCCTTGTCATTTAATCTTGGTTTTCACCTACTTTTCTGGCTCCTCTTCAATTTTCTTTTAGTCCCCTGTTTCATTAAGATATTGATATTCCCAGGGCACCTGGATGGCTCAGTGGGTTAAACCTCTGCCTTCGGCTCAGGTCATGATCTCAGGGTCCTGGGATCGAGCCCCGCATCAGGCTCTCTGCTCAGTAGGGAGCCTGCTTCCTCCTCTCTCTCTCTCTCTCTCTCTCTCTCTCTGCCTGCCTCTCCACCTACTTGAGATTGAAATAAATAATATCTTTAAAAAAAAAAAGATATTGATATTCCCTGTATTTTCAACATAGGTCCACTATCCTCTCTCATTTAGCAAGCTCCACCACTCATATGATTTCATATAACACCCGAGGGCAGTGCAATCTGTATTTCTAGCCCAGAAATTCAGATTTATATGTGCAACTGCCTATTAGATATCTCACCTGGATGTCCAACACACTTAACCAAATTCAACACATTTGAACATGTGTTCTCTGCTCCCCACACCCCAGTCCTAACTTCCACCAATTCTGTCCAATTGGCCTCTCCTCAATAATTAATATCTTGAGGAAAAGAATCACAATTTCATTAAAAAAATATGTATAACTTTTTTGACTTCTCTCTTTTTTGCAATTCTCACAGCCAGTCACTAGTTCAGTCAGACTTCTTCCTCAATATCTTTCAGATCTGTTTCTTCCTCTCCATTCCTACTGGAAATGCTTTAGTCAGGCCATTATTTTTGGCCTGGACTGTGACCACAGCTTCCTCACTGGCTTCTTGCTTCTAATCGGAGGATGGATTAATCTTTTTACTGCAAAAAACAGGGTTATTTTGTCTTCCTATATTCAGGTCCTCAGTGGTTCTCCAAATAAAATACAAACTCTTTAGCTTTGTAATCAAAGGTCTTTGTGACATCTCCTATGCCTGCATGGCCTGCCTCTTTTCTCCCCTATGTTCCAACCATACCAAACCAACAACTGTGTAGTAATAATCTATAAATCCATGTGAAAAAAGAATTTTCTTTTTTCTTTTTCCTACTTCGACATTCCTTTAACTTTGCATTTCCCTGTACTTGTGCTCTTCTCAGCCCTGGCCCATTGCCATGACCATTTCTATAAGTAGTTCCATATGTACATAGTTTCACTTTTCAATTGAGGCAAGCTTTTGGTTAATGTGTAATAGGCACCTTAATTTTGAAATGGGGGTAAGAAGCAAGGGTCTACATATAATTTGCCAAGGGAGGGCAGAGTTAGGATTGGGGTTTGGAAGTGAAGTTAGAGTATATTAACTGTTTTTTCCTGTTAACCTAAATCTATCAGGTGTCTCTCCTCTAAATTATTCAAAGTTTCACTCTAATCCCTATAAGATGTATATAACATATAATATTATATTCCTATGATGCCCCTACATCAAAGTTGACCAGGCAGGCATTATGATTCCAATTTTATGTCAATGTTAGGGTATTTTGCCTAACCATGGTTAGTGGTACAACTGAGGCAAACACTGAGGCTCTGCTTCTTAAACTAGTCTGAGTATTTGCACTCTCTCTACAATGTCTCCTAGGCTTCAGAGCTTACAGATCTAGAGGCTGGATCTCCAATGGTAGAATTTCAGGCAGTGGAAGAAGTCTGAGGGACCAACCTCATATGCTTGCTGTACCTGACTTCGTTACTTATGCATTACAGCCTATGACTCACTACCACAGCAAGCAGATCATCTGTCACTCAGCTTCCCTTCTCCAAGCATTGTGTCTCTCCACGAGGAGACTTTCCTTCCTAGCCTCTACAAACCCAAAGCAACTACTTCTTCCAAAGCTCCTGAAAACTTCCAGGGAGCAGGCTCAATACCTGGGGCTCAAGAAGTTCAGAAGACTCTGGGGACAGCCTCAGGCATTTTCCTGCCCTGGGAACTATTGCCATTCTGGCAGAGAGCAGGTAGATGGGGATTTGTAAAGGTAGTAAGTCTCTCCTACTTAGAAGCCCTCCCTCCTCAGAGCTACTCTCTGTTAGGGTACGGAGTCGACCACCCCTCAATTAGACAGAGAACACTCTCGATAATGCAAGTCACACAGCGAGGTTTATTTCCAGCTAGCTGGGGTCCAAGTATCTGCCCGGCGCAGGAGGTTTCAACAAGGACCCTGAGCATTCAAAGCCAAGGGTTTATATAGCATTTTTGAGGCACTTTTTCATAGCTACATACATATCTTGCGCCCCACTTTGACAGTTTAACTTTGTTTAACTTTTGCCACCCCAGCGTCACCCTGGGGTTAAGTGAGATTTAGGTTTAGAAGAAATTTAACTTTATTTACATTTCCTTCTGCCTCAGCCTCCTTCAGTTTTATGGTGGGGAGGGCGACCTTAGGCCTTGAGGAACTGAGCCATTTGTCTCTGGAAATTGGGCCATTGAAAAGATAGCCATTTTGTTCTAAATCACCAGGACATTTGCAAACCGAGGGAGACTCCTGTCTTGCAGGATTGTGATCTCTGCAAGTTAACTATATGTTTTTCATTAACATCTGGTCCCTGTGGCGCCACCGCCTAACCGCTCTGGTGGTATATGATTGAGTTGTTTTTTAGGTTTTAGCTAGTTTCTCTTATCTCAAGTCACCTACGCAGTGTTGGCCGGTTAGGGACCGGTCGCTCAGTAAAATGGCTTCCTGGCCTTCAGGATGGCCATTCTTATGATAACCCACTCTTACACTCTCCTTTATCAAACACAATTTTTGAACAACTAAAACCAGGTTATTATTAATGAACTTAATGATCATATACCATTTCTCTCTCTGCTCAAATAGATGCATTCACTAACTCCCCAATCCATGTCACTTTCAGCTAGCTTCCAGAAGTCTCCTATCTGTTCTTTCCTTTTTTTTGTCTCAGTGAGAGAGGAACACCTTGCATTTGACCCTCCCCATCTGTTAAACAAACACACGCTCCTCTCCTGTCCAGTCAGCCTGTACTCCATGCACTATCTCATCCCCACTCCTCATAGTCTCTGGAAAAGAATGAAAATACCCAGAAGAAAAGCACTGAGTTGTCC